GAAGGAGATGACGCGGCTGGACGATCCAGATTCGTGATCCATGTGCAGGTGGAATAGAGCGAGACTCCATGAAATACCTACTTACAGTTTATCGCTGAGCCACCCGCCCGAGGCTGCCTTCAGCTCTACAGCAACAACTCCCTAATCAACCTAATCGCCCCCTCCACCAATCTCGGCTCAAACTCCCCATTTTGCTCCTTCGCAGCCTTCAACACCGCTTCCACGTTCTCCACATTCCACTCCTTCCCAACCTTCTCCTGCGCGTATTTTTTGAACCCATCCTGCCACTGTGCCTCTTCAAATGCGAGGGGGATCACCTCGCTGAAGACCGTGCTGCCGCCGGCCGCACCAGCGATGAGCTCAAACCACATTGCGCGCTGCTTTGGGCCCATGAGGTCAAGGGCCTCGGCGAATTTGACGGTTTCGTAGGCGGACATTAGATTTATGAGGGCGTGGGCGTGGAGAATTGTTCGTGTTGTCTCGGATGGGGACGTGGCGGTGGCTGTGTAGCTGTCCTGCGCGTGTTCGATGACGAGTTGTTGTTTTTGTTCATTCTTAAGAGTGGGATCGAGGTAGTACTTCGTTAGGAAGGCGTCATCCCAGGACGCGATGTTACTGTCCATGCAGACCTTTAGCTGGGCGTGGGCTGTGTTCAGGAGGGGAAGCTCGATGTTCAAACGCGCTTCCTCGTCGTAGATGATTCCGACGTCTTTGTTGATTATGCTTATTGCGCTGGCGATGGGGAGGGCGGGGTCGAGCATGCGGGGGGACCGGTTGGTGAACATCCAGGTCCAGCCGTGGGGGTGGTCACCTGATGATGTTTGTGTGTTGACTGTATTGGCGAATTGTGTTGTGTTTAGGCCTGCTAGGGCGGCGAGGGACATTATTTCGGAGGCGCTGACGATGTGGATGCCGCATTGGACTTGGTTTAGGGCTTTTGCTGAGGTTCCGGCGCCGAGGGTGCCAGGGATTGGATAGAGGGTTTTGCCGCTGTTGCTGAGGGTGCGGAGGCAGGTTTGGACGAGGGGGTGGTTCATGGCGTCTTGGGAGTCGGAGGAGGCCATGATTGTGAGAGTGCCGTTTTTTGATCGTGCGACGCCGCCTGAGACTGGGGCGTCGACGAGCGCGATGTCTGGTCTGTTGAATTCTGAGGTGAGTCTTTGGCGGACTTCGGTGGGGTGTGTTGGGGGGACGGTGGCCATTATTATGACTGGGATGTCTTTTGGTAGGTCTTTGACGGCGCCAGACTCGAAAAGAGCGGAATTGACATGGTGATGTGTTGCGACCATAAGGATGACAATGTTGGCTCCTGACTTTACTGCCTCCGAGCAGGAAGTCGTTGTTGAAAACTGTGCATTGGAGTTCTCGCTCTGCTGGATGTTCGTACATGCCTCTGTCCATCTGTCGAGAGTAGGCTGGTAAATGTCAAATCCTGTGACTTGAATTCCCGTTCGGACTAGATGTGTTGACATTGCGAAGCCCATAGCTCCGAGGCCTAGGAAGGCGACGTGCGGTGTTGCGCCCATATTCGAGGCTGAACCCATGCTGCCAATTGCGCTTCCGACTGGACCTCAATCGATGAGACGTGTGGTCAGTGACGCACGTGCTCGAGCTGGTTATTAGTATCCGAGAATGTGAAGCTAGGGTCGCAGTGGTTTAAGTCGAAGAACAATTTCTTATGATTCACTGCTGCAGTGGGTATCAGAAACTTGCGAGCGTTCGCCTCGTTACATGTTACATGTACTACTTAGCCTATATACAGACCTTTTCTCATCGTATACGTCGGCAGTTGGACCGACGTCGAGCAACACTCGGCTGATATACCTTGTCGCGGTTACCTTCGCCCGGAGCGGTACTTGTCCGTCAGTGGTCACCTAGCCGAGCGATGAGGAGAAAATATGTCATGAAAAGAGCCTCAACAGGAAAGTCCAGGCCCGGTTGTCGTCGGTGTTTGCTCCGGCCATGTAATCAAGCTTGATTCGACCTCGTATTAAGTTCACAACTTTCGGTAGGATGCGAGATACATGCAATCGTTTGCGCATGTCCACAACAATGCTATTATTGAAGCCAACAGTTGCGAAGAAGAAAAAGGATTGATTTCCAGATATGAAGGGGCTACGAAACTGTGACGGTAAGTCTGCCGAAAGGAAATGGCTGCCTGAGGCCCTCATACATGTTATCGAGAATGAAGCTACAGCAGGCGCGATCAGGGTGCGTGCGAGCGGTGCGAAAACTGATTAATTTACTAGGTGCCAGTAGATTAGCTGCCAAAGCTGTGGGTAGACCTCGCAATTCTGTCATGGAGATAAAGCAAGAGTCATCAAAAGCTTATAGAGATCCAGCAATGCCATCATCAGAACGGCCCCTATTCATTTGATGAAGCGCTCAGCCGGGATGCCGATCGTTTCGGGATGCCACGTAAGTTGAGCTTAGAAGAGTCGTTCTCACATGAAGGAGTGAACCAGACGGCAAGCTTGGAACATGAAACCCCATTGATCTTCCATGGCTGTTGTGAAGGAGAGTGAAGAGCCGACATCTCATTTCGCCATGTTCATGAAGTCTGGAAACCTCTGCAACAAGGCACTAATCTCATTATCGCTGATCGCGAATTCGAAAGCCCCTCTGCTGTCCTCCTGCCCTGGAAGGAGACGATAAGAATATACATTTTCGAAGGTCCATTCCTTCTCGCCACACTGTGGAAACGGATGAGCCTTCCATGTCAAGAAGCATAGTGCGTTGTATGGCGAGACCACTTCGATTCGGGAACTTTCGAGCGTGACATCGAGCCCAATACCTAAGGTAAACCAACGGTCGAGGTATGGTTTGGCGCCGGACGCGGCTTTGTCGTGATCGCCTAAGGGGTTGATGGAGCCCATCGAGAAGCTCACGAAGCCCTTAGGCACGTAATGTGACAAGATTGCTTTGGCTGCCTCCTCAGTCTTGGTAGGGTCTGTGCAGTTGACTGCTTGAGCATATGATTGGCAGAAGGCTTCTGCTTTGGCTCGGATGCCGTCCGCCATTGTAGATTTTCGGCGTGTACGATCGGGCTAGAGACTTTCGAGGAGCTCAGGAGGCCTTCAGCTGGTGTAGAAGCTTCAAGTAAGGGAAGGCGTAAAGCTGTGTTAATATATTGAGTCGTCCTGGTGACGTGACATGAGTGGGAATGGTACGCCTGATGCCTTGGCTACTGCCTTACCATTGGCATCGAGTGCTGTGACATTTAGCCTACATACATGACAAGGAGAGCTCTGTGAACAACCACTGCTAACTCTCAGCCATACGTTCTTCGCAGATGCTCTCTCGGCCCGGACGAGCAAACTGTCCGAATTTATGCTTGTTCTTCGTTAGGCGCAGCGAGCCCAGAGTGCAGACCCTGGATGACATTCCGGTTGATCTTACGGCACCTCGCGCATTATTGTTATCGATAGCGAATGCCACAACTTTTTCTTTGCGCGACCTGGAAGGAACGTCCATATCGACGAAAGTAAAGACAAGATGGCTGTTGAGGTGAAGCCCATACATGAACTACTAAGCACCATCACGGACGCTTTCACTGCAGCAAAGGATGCCTTTCCAGAAGATACAGCTTCCTTCGTGCCACCCACAGACGGCATCTCTCTTCTCGATGTGAAGAACGATCTCCTCCTCTCATACCTCCAGCATCTCGTCTTCCTGATCCTTCTCAGGCTCAAGAATGGTTCAGGCTCCGCTGCGAGTCAGGCGAATCTGGGGAACAACGTAATCAAGAAGCTCATCGAGCTCCGTGCCTACTTCGATCGAGGTGTGCGCCCGCTCGAAGGACGACTACGCTACCAGATTGACAAAGTTCTACGAGCAGCAGAAGACGCAGGGAGGAGCGCAGCATCAAAAGCGCAAGTAAATGGTGCAAGCAAGAAAGCGAAGAAGATCAGCCGTAGAACAGATAACGATTCGGATGTCTCTGCTTCGGATTCCGACGCAGAAGAGGACTCAGATGCTTCCGAGGCAGAAGATTCAGATGATGAAAACGCCCTAAGACCGAATATATCAGCCCTAGCGTCAGGTCCTCTCGCAAACTCAGCAGCTAAAAACGCCAGAGACAGACAATCAGGCACAAGAGATGGAATTTACAAACCGCCACGACTCAATCCCACGGCAATGCCCAACACTTCTACAAGGTCTCGCGAAGAGGCAGAAGATACTCGAGCCGCCCGTCGCCGCAAGAACGCACTATTAGACGAATACATCAACGAGGAACACTCCTCTGCACCCGCAGCCCAACCCAGTATCGGCTCAAACAACACCATTCTGGACAGAGGCCGCCAACACAGCAGCCTCAACACTCGCGACCGTGATCGTGAGAGGGAAAGAAGGCAGTATGAAGAGAGCAATTTCACGCGCTTGCCTGGAGCGAGTAAAGCTGAAAAGAGAAAGGATAAGGCGCGGCAGATGAGGGAGGGGAGAGATATGTTTGGTGGTGAGGATTGGACGGGTTTGGGTGGATTTGGGGATCGTGTGAGTCGGACTGTGGCTGGTGGGAGGGAGAAGGGGAGTGTGCTTGATAGAAGGGAGAAGAGGAAGAGGGATACGACTGATATGCCGAGGGGTGATGGGGTGGGTATTGGTGAGAGTTTCGAGAAGAGGAGACGCGTTGTGCAGGGGAGGGATCAGAGGAAGAGGGGTGGGAGGAGATGAAGAAGGGCAACTGAACAAGTGAGTATCAAGTTGTGTAGCGCAGTCAATCGCATTCATTGCGCACCACGAATCAATTTCATTCAGCACCAAGCAGCAAAAGAAATTTGAACGTGTTCGATCTAAGTTGTGACGAGACAGAATCTCGTTCATCAAGGCTCGCTCGCTCCATGCGACTCTCAGGCTTCTTGCCGCCTTGCAACCTGCTACTATATCAGAACAGTATCTTCGGTTTCACTGACTTTCCACGATTACTAATCTACATCGATCCATCAACACAGCAGGCGCGCACAAAGCAAACGAATCATTATCGCATCGCAAAAAGGAAACGGAGCAAGTGAGGATTGAACTCACGACTTCTTCGAATCGAACCAGAAGACGTGAACGTGTGGTTAGTGGGCGGCTAACCGCACGCGTCTGTGCTTAAGGACTCTTTAATGCAAACGAAGCACTCTATCACTGAGTTTTTGCCCCGGGAATGTGTTATTAGAGGACAAGTTTTAGGATTGGAACATATCAAGGTAAAGAAGTGACGGGATGGTTGGCGGGAATGCGCGGATAGACAGGGAGGCAGCTACGAGGGACGGAGAATGAAGAAGTGAAGTGACTGCGAGCCAGGGGCGGATAATTTGGGCGAGAGACGGCAGAAGGCCAGCTAGCTCGTTAATCTGATACTCTACTGTTTCAAAGCCATCACAACCAATCTCTCAACAACACTCGAGCTCCCATCCGCTGACTTGATAGCTTCATTAAAATACAACATGGTTCCCTTCCTCCCTACAGCCTCTTTTAGACCTTGGCTGCTGGCGTCCTCAGCCCCTGTATCTGCCATCGTTCGCGCGGTATATCTTTCACGCTGATCTCCCAAAGCACTTCTGACTCTCCAAGAAGAAGTCTTTGCTTGTTCAACACCTCGAGATCGCGGTCTAGGTTCTGAAACAGCGGCGCCACAAGTCTAGTCCGTGCTTCTGCTTCGTCGTCGGTCACGCCCGCAGATAGTCCCGGCGCCTTTTGCTCGACCGTGATCCTGACGAGATTCGGATTGAGATATGTGTCCCCCGTGTGGACGTCGTTCTGTTCCAACGTGTTGAACAGGATGATAACGTAAAAAGATGGAACCCCACGTTGCGTGTAGAAGTTTGTGATGGTGGTGTTTAGGGTGGCTTTTTCATCGTCTGACAGGGAACCTGGACGTGAGGAGATGCGCCAGAGGGTCATGTTGACGAGTGTGTTGTTGGTGCGAGAATGAATTGATTGATGGGATATGAAAGCATGTTCACGAACGGGTATATATCAGATGTCATCGCCATGTCTTCCATGCCCAAGTCTGGCAATTCTGGATCTCAGATTTTTTGATTAGTGATCATTGCTGCTCTGTCTCTGCTGTCAGCGAGGCGGGTAAACCCTTACAAAACTGTTAAAGGTGAAGACCGCCTCAATAGTAGCATCACCTATTGCTTAACACGGTAGGCTGTTCAGTCATCTAGATGTGTTTGTCGCCGTCAGCATATCCCACAGAGCGAAGTCACTTCTTGAAAAGCACAACTGAGTTAAGTCGACAGCGGACAAGTAATAGAGCAGACATGATTCCGTAACAAGGCATCATATTGGTTCCTCATTCGAACTGTGGAATGGGTTGTAGTGCTTAAAGACAGCTCGCTCTGCCCCGAATGTGTGCTGTTGAAGGAGTTGATAGTGCCTATGGAGGTGACACGGCTAAGCTACTACCAGAGTAGGAATAGCTCCTAATAACTACGGGCGACTATTGTAACGGGTCCGCTGCGGTAGAGGTGGGCTTGCTCAACCAGGGCAGGAAAGTCAATCTGTGCCAAGCAATATCACCATGCACTTGCCATCTGTTCTACGAAGCAACAACTTCTCTACTTTTCGCTCTGATGCTGAAGTTACATCTTCTGTAGAGGTGGGTGTACAACTACTTCTTTCCCGTCCCGTGCGTGTCGATGGCGTTGCTTTCCTACGCTCGTCACGACTTCCGTATCGAAACGAATGCCGTCATGACGGACTCCTTCCCCACATGAGACTCCGGAAGTGTTCTCCGCTTGGTACTGCACGATGTGCATCTCACTCGTCATTACCTCACAGTCAAGTCAAGCACGAATCAACACCTCTCAGACAGCGGAAAGTGACGCCGGACGGAGAAGGCGCGTCGTTCATGGTACCATCGTGACATCCATGACCACAAGTCGCGTCGTGCAGCAGATGCCAACCTCAACCATGTGCAATACCTCCATTCCCATTCGCTGATCTCGCAGTTCTCGTTGTCATTGTTTGTTCGTCGAGTTTCCTCTCAAATTGCTGCTCCAAGATACACTCACTCTCGTTATCTCCAGTAGTTGTGTAGGCAGTCCAGATGTTTTCGCGGTCACTGACCCTCAGATCAATTCGCATGGTATCACCACCACGACAAATAATATCATCTAGACCATTATCTACTACATCGACACCGGCTTTACTTCTCGCAGCTCGGTCTACCAACCAATCACTCAGCACTACAAGACAAACACAACCCATCATCCCGACAAGAACCATGGCAAGCATTGCTCCCAGCAGCAACACCAAAGCAACCACCGTCAACCCCGACCACTTCCTACAGACATCCGGGGCGCAGGATGCGGTATGGATCAAGACCCTCCCATACTCTTCGATCCCTACCTTCCCCAAGCTCGACCGAGACCTCGAAACAGATGCCCTCATCATCGGCTCCGGCATCTCAGGTGTCAGCATAGCCTATGAATTGGTTCGGAAGGGCGTCGATGTTACTATGATCGAGGCTCGCAATATACTCAGTGGTGAAACAGGTCGTACATCTGGTCACTTGTCTTCAGACTTGGACGATGGCTACACTGAGATTGGCAAGAAACACGGAAAAGAGGGCGCTAAACTGGCCGCTGAGAGTCACGACTGGGCTGCTAAGCGGGTTGGTCAGGTCAGCAAGGAATTGGGCATTGAGTGCGAGTACAGAATGTTGAAAGGCTACAACGTCTCGCAATACGAGCGTGGCACAAAAGAGCACGATGACGAAGTCAAAACTTTGAAGGAGGATGTTGAGGCGGCGAGGGAAGCCGGCTTAGATGCGATTTATCAGGAGGGCTTTGCAGTTCCTGGATGGGATGGTCAGCTCGACCAGCGTGATGCCGCAATCTTCAACAACCAGGCAACTTTCCACCCGACCAAGTACGTGGTAGGTGTGCTAGAGTGGCTGAAGCAGCAGAAGAACTTCCAAGCTTTCTCTGGCACGCGAGCTGTGGATATCAAAGAGAAAGGCGTTACTGTACCAGTGGTGGATGTGCATCTGGGACCAAAAGACACCGTGGTCAAGACCGAGGGTGGACATACTATCACCGCTTCTCATACCGTGGAGGCCACGTGTGTGCCTCTGCAAAGACTCAGCTTGATTGCAGAGATGGAGTATCATAGAACCTACTGCATCGCTATCAGGATACCCAAGGGCGTAGTCGAGGACTGCCTGCTCTACGATTCGGCAGAATGCTACAAGTACGTTCGAATGACTGAATGCGACGACCAAGACGACTACATGGTTGTCGGCGGTTGTGACCACGCCGTTGGCCAAGAAGACGAGCAAGATGCCCGGTACAACGAGCTCGAAGAATGGACTCGCAAGCGCTTCACCAAGGCAGGCGCAGTCGACTACAAATGGAGTGGTCAGATCTTCGAGCCAGTCGATTTCATGGGCTACATTGGCCGAAACAGTGGCCAGCAGAAAGTCTATGTTGTCACTGGCGACAGCGGTAACGGTCTAACGCATGGTGTCCTCGCTGGCAAGCTGATCAGCGACATGATCACTGGCGAAGCCAACCCCTGGGAGAAACTTTACGATCCTCGCCGAAGAGGAAAGGCTATCGCTAAGTCGCTGCCACATATGCTCGAGCACGATATCCAGGTCAACATGCAATACAAGCGGTTCGCCGAGAACGACATCAACGACATTGAAGACCTGGGCAACGACAAGGGTGGTGTTTTGAATTCGAAGACCAAGAAGCCGCTTGCGGTCTACAGAGATGAGAATGGAAAGGTGCACAAAATGAGTGCGCTTTGCCCGCATATGAAGGGTGTTGTGTGCTGGAACGACTCGGAGAAGAGTTGGGATTGTCCGGTGCATGGCAGTCGGTTCTCGAAGGACGGAAAGCAGATTATGGGCCCGGCTCAAGTCGGTATGCATCCTGCGGAGCAGTCTGAACTCAAGACTGGCTTCATGCAGTGAGCTGTCGAAGCATTTGCAACCACGTCAAACAAGCTTAGCCGTCAGCTGTTTTCATGAGTTTAGCAAGCATGCTGTAGACTTTTATGGTTATGGAGAGCATAAGCGAATCTGTCTTGCTGTGTAGTAGGTGACAGGGCTTCCCAATGAATAGCAATGTATCACAAATCACCTGCACTCCGTACCTATTCATTACTCGTATGATCACGCTGTCCATCGACTCTGTTGATGCACAACGACATACACCTTGTTCGTGTTTTCGCCATCAACCTGCTATGCTGTCTCTGATCAAATGTTCTGCACACACGAGTCTTGCGTTTCTCCCACCTGGGACATGTTTAGGCTGTCAGTTAATTGCACACTCGAGGCCTTGCATGACTGTTCTGTACGATCCTCTCCGTGATACTCGAAACTGAGCTTCGTCGGGACCCCTGTCCTTGAAAGCCTGCTTCTTGTTGGACAGCGTGCCCAACAACGTTTTCTGTGGTTTTTCGCCGTCGCGCGTGGCCCAGCCACGCGGTACCCTCCTTTCGCCAGCGTGTTGCTCTTCGACTCAGGGACCCAAGGTCTACGTTCCGAGCTTCTTCAGTAAGTATGGGCTTCTTCCCGTGCGTGCTGTGTAGTGTGCCACAGCGTCCTCGTTGCGAACGGTTGAAGTTTTCGTGGTCTTTGTGAGGGGTTGGTTGGCCATGTCCTGTTCTGCGACAATGATGCTTGGCCGACACTAGTGGATTGCTTTCAGGTGTGGGTGTCCAGGCTGCCTTCATGGATACCAGATAGATGCTTTTGGTCTCCTGGCACCTGCATCTTTCCCATCCGAGGCGGCACGCGGTCCATGAGTGCTTTGAGCGCCACACGGCTGGTATACATCGCGTATACATAGATCCTTCAGATCACAACTTTCGAACCAAAACACCAGAGCGAACCAAGACCAGCCAATATAGCAGCACCCGCAACCTGTCGTGTCGAGAATGTATCCTTCTTCAATTGCATCGAGCCCACTGGCTTGCCATGCTGTAAACTCTGTATCTTCCCCATCGATGCTGCGTCCCGCTGCACAAGATACTCATCCCTCATGGTCTTGTTCTTCTCCTGCACAGATGCAAAAGTCTCATACTCCCTCACCAACCTCATCAGACCCTCCAGATCCTCCTTTACACCCTCCCTCGAATCCCCGTTCTGCACCTCAACCCCCTGCACATTCCCAAAAAAATCCACCACCCGTCTACTCCGT